CATTTATTCAGACATTAACCAAACCTATGGTCTTTAGCAACCGTCATCCCCATTTTCAAAAAAGGTGACCCTTGCTTAGTTGATAACTACAGACCAATCTCATTGTGTTGTGTGACGTGCAAAATTATGGAATCAATTATTAATCAATGCATTACCTTCCACTTAGAGTCTAACAACTTACTCTCCAATAATCAATTTGGTTTCAGAAAAAATTTGTCCTGCAATTTGCAACTTCTACAAACATATGGACTACACTTCTCGACCAGGGTAAAGCAATAATGTAATTTATATTGACTTCTGTAAAGCATTTGACTCAGTAGTACATGACAAACTACTATTGAAATTAAATTCTTACGGCATTTCTGGATCCCTTCACAAGTGGATTATACCTTCCTGATAAACATAGTAAAAATAGGAAACGCTCTATCAAAACCTGCACCAGTTATTAGCAGTGTCCCCCAAGGGAGCGTTCTAGGAACCACACTCTTTACACGCTATATAAATGACCTTTCTGATCACCTTATTAGCAACTGCGTCCTCTTCGCTGATGATGTTAAACTATTCAACACCACTGTCAATGTTACCGTCCTTCAAAAAGACCTTGATTATGTGTCTGAATGGTCTAACAATTGGCAACTCCAAATATCTACCAACAAATGCTCTGTCCTACACTTTGTTAAAAAAAAATCTATATACAAAATACAATCTAGGCGGATATGACCTTGTTGATGACCTTCACTTTGTCAAGGACCTTGGAATTCTCATATTGAATAATCTAAGTGCCAAAGCTCACTGCAACAGTATTGCCAAAAAGGCTTTAAGAGTTGTAAATTTAATTTTACAAAGCTTCTCCTCTGGTAATACTGTTTTGCTAACTAGGGCATTCAAAACCTTTGCTAGACCAATACTTGAATTCAGCTCTGCTGTCTGGAATCCACACTGTATATCTGACATAAATACAACTGAGCGAGTCCAGAAGTATTTTACCAGAAGAGTACTACATTCCTCTGTTCACAACAGAATACCCTACAGCATCAGATTTGAGATTCTTGGTTTAGACAACCTTGAACTATGCCGAATAAGATTAGACTGAAGCATGGTTCGTAAAATCATATGTTACAACATCTTACCGGTTAATGAATATTTCAGCTTCAATAACAACAACACTAGAGCGCACAACAGATATAAACTAAATGTAAACCACTCCAAACTCGATTGCAGGAAGTATGATTTCAGCAATAGAGTGGTCAATGTCTGGAACTCACTACCTGATTCTGTTGTCACCTGCTCAAACCCCCACTCCTTAACCCTCAAACTAACCTCTATTGACCTCACCCCATTCCTAAGAGGTCTGTAAGGGGCGTGCATAAGTGCACCATAGTGCCTACCATCCCTGTCCTATTGTCCCCAATTATTAGTTCCTATTTCTTGTATTTAAACTTATGTTTATTCTTCATTCTGTTATATTGTAAGCTTTTGACAAATAAATAAAAATAAAAAATAAATAAATTAACAATCACTTAGATAATTGCAAAACTGACTACTCTGATTAAACAAAAAAAAACATAAGTACTTTTGTTTCACATGCAGTGCTCACGTGCAGCAGCCGTGGGACATCTGCCCAAGCTACGCTGTGGTTGCCACATGGTAGGGAAAGCTAGGAGAGAGACCAGGGCACGTGAGCGATCAAGTAGAAAATTCAACATACTGAATTACTTCTTCCAAATCCTATTAGTACTGACTTTGGGAGACATTAAATTGGATTTTCATATCAATCTATTTCCAGCCAGCAATATTAGTGACTACAAAGAGCTCAAACAAACCCAATAAAAAGGGTCAGTGCTTAACACTACAGTTGCTAGCTAATATTTTGTTTTACAGGAATTGTGTAGACTGGACTAAAGACAAGTCCAACTTTACCATGGAGTGAAGCTGTCACAAAAAATAGGAGTTCTGCGTGTATTATCACAACATAGCAAATATACAAATAAATAAATTAACTGTGGCAATGGAATACAGCAGGTTTTGTATTGAAGTGAGAGGAAAAATCATAGTGAAATTGTGTTTTAAAAATAATTTTAATTGTTTTTGAGTGCAAAAATAATCTTCTGTTATGTCTGGTTTTAGATAAAAGACTTGCACTATAACTAAAAGTCATATTCATTGCAAGTCAATGACACATTATTCCATTTAATGATGGAATACATGAAATCTACTCCTTATCCAGTCTTGTGTAAAACTTTTGGCTGTCAAGAGCAGTATTGTTAGAGGTTCAATATGTTGAAAGTTGCATCACTTGCCAGTAAAGTTGAACTAAATTGGTACAAGTTGATAAGATGTGAGAAGGTCATGATTCCAGTTAAATAGCAGCATGTTGACAGAGTGACAGAGGGTTAAAAGAAGATTAAAATTATCTCTACTCCACTGTGCCTTGAAAATGCAAATGAGGCTAACGAATAAGTAGATTCTAGAGGTGCTTTCTGTAGAACAGACAAAAAGGGAAAACCTCCTAATTTTAATCTCTGAGAAAAGAACAGAAGCATTTCACCAGTTAATTCATTAATAACATATCCCTGAATACTTTATCTGTTTTACAGAAAATTGTTCAGAAATCCTGACTTTTACTTTCGTTCTGTTTATTTATTTATTTAATAAACACAGATTTGGAACAAATGAAGCTTCTTCCTCTTGTGGTTACATTTCTAAAAAAACAGTTTCATTTTAGAATTAGCAAAAGAACAGTGATCTGTAACATCACTCCTTGACATGTCTACTCAGAAGAAAGTCGCACTGAATTACCACATTTTTCGGAGTATAATACACTCCGAAGTATAAGATGCACCTAGCTTTTGAGGAGGAAAACAAGAAAAAAAATCTGCCTCCCAGCAATTTGCCTCCTTGCAGCAAATAGCAAACAGCCTATTTTAGTTTCAGCACAGTCTGATTAGCACAAGCAGCTGATTGTCGGTTGGATCGGCCTCACAATGACAATCAGCTGTTTCACGCTGCAGGGATTGCCATAGCCTATTGCCGCCTCTGCTCGCCCCATTTTCAACCTGTTTGAGTGGCAGGGATTGGGCAGAAAATGGGGCACGCGGAGGCAAAAAATGGGATGCATGGAGGTGGCAATGGAAATCCCTGCAGCCTGCAAAAACCTGATTGTTGGGAGGCCGATCCAACCGACGATCAGCTGCTTGTGCTGAAGCTGAAACAGGCTGTTTGCTGCAAGGAGGCAAATTGCTGGGAGGCAGAGGCCAAAGGGTGGGGGCCAGTGGGGGTTCGGCAGCATTCGCTGTATAAGACACGCAGACATTTCCACCCACTTTTGGGAGTGGAAAAAGTGTGTCTTATACTCCGAAAAATATGGTAAATAACACTTATTTACATCTGCCTAGAATTTCAGGTTTGGAAGAATACCAATATGAAAACTTCTGAGCTTTTTAATCAGTATTTTCTCTTCAGTGGCTCAATAGGGCTTATTGTCTTGCCAAAGGAAAGTTTGCTTCCAAATGGGTCAGGTAGTGAAAATAGTATACTTGCAATATAAATATAAACCAAGTCTCATTGAATAATCATAACTTTACACTGAAATGGCAATGTATTCATAAGACCACAACTCATACTGTATTAGTCAAATCAGAAGCCACAACCTAAATTGCCAAGAAACAGAAAATGTTTTCCACAAGTATTTTAACATCTTTTACAGCTTCCTAGAAGTTAGCATGAATTTTAAGTTTTGGGTAGTTAAAAAATACTCTAATTTTTATCCCAGTATTCACATCACCAAGATTTCAGTTTCAACAACTGACACTGTTTATTTAACTCGTTATTAGATTTTTGAAAATGTGTTGAAAAACTTGTACCATTTTATTACTGTGAGTGCACACCTCATACATTTGCAGTGTTAATCATAGCTAGACTTAAATTCATTACCAATAATTATTAAACCATTGTGCTAATTACTGAGTGGGTTTATATGGTGCGGTAAACCAAAACGCTAACTTCCCTTTGGTTTACCATGTTAATGAGTCCAGTTGTCATGGTTTTCAAACTATGATTTATCTTGTAGTAAGCTATTGAAACAGAGCACACTGCTGTTTATTTACTAAGTTATGGTTAAACAAACCATGAGTACTGTATGTACTATATGACCATAGTCACAATATGTCATTCTGTAAGATGAGTTGTATTGTGGGGTGTCTAGAAACATGATAATGTATACTGACATATTGTACAATATGTGTCTATTTTAACCTTGCCCAACCAGGCTCCCTTCGAAAATGCTAGCAAGGGAAGGATTACTAGATCTGGGCTGAACAAATCTGAATGGTCACAAAACAAAAGCAGAGAGTTAGAAGTTGTCTGGCATTTCTTCACTGTCATCCAGTGTTAGTATGGATTTTTGCAGCTCAGTCTGGCAGTCCTACTGAAAACATATTGGAACCACTCTTCCAAGTATTCCGCAACTTTTGGAGACTGCATGAACATAGCTATATGGTTCTCTTATCAGTAAGTTATTTGACACTGAGTTCTTTTAGTATGTCCCAAAGGTGTTTTTTAGCATGTCCCAAAGGTGATTTTTATTTTTTCCTTGAAAATGTTTTGCTTCTCACCCAAGAAGCTTGTTCGGTTTATTTTTTTTTCAAGGAAAAAACAAAGAATAAAACAAACACAGTTGCCTTTTGAAAAGCACCTCTGGGGCAACCATGGCTTAGATGATTAAAAATCTCCATAGACCTCTTTTAGAATATTTTTGTTTGGCTTCCTACTATTTCCCACCCATTTCTCATCCAAATAATACAGAGCCCTGACCTCACCTAGCTTCCAAGCCCAAGCAAAATTGGCTGGTGCTGTTATCTATTGAGACAAAAGTGATGTTCTAGATTCTAGACCAACATTCTGGAAATTCAGGGAGTTCCAAACCAAAATATTTGTAAACTGCTAGGGTAAAACTTTGTATTCCAAAATAATGCAAACAGTAATCCAAGAGGCACAATTACCTGCAAAACCACAAGTCTGTGAACATTCCGACCAAGGAGACCATTCGGTAACCAGACAGTTCACTACACATTCTACCATGCAGTTGGCAGTCATTTGGGTGGGTGTTTCCAGATTCAACTATTAAGGAAAACACAATAGATCACTTGTCACTGATAGCTAGGCAGATGTGCAATTAAGTAGGGCTTCTAAAAAAAAACCTGTAAGTGGAGCAGAGTCTTTAGAGTAGGCAGCTATTTAAAACAACAACGACGATAGCTTCTTCAATATTTTTTCAATGCCTCAAGTCCAGCTTGCTCATAGCTTTGCCATAGTCTTTGGCAAAAACAATACTCAGTGAAGTGCGTTAGCATCAGTGGTGGTATTCTACCAGTTCATCTGAATCAATATTTCTTTTTTTTCCTCCCAACGATCAGCTGTTCCGATGATCAGTTGCACCAGGAACCCCCTCACTGTCTTGCTGTTTTGCCCAGGAGGCAAAAAAACTGAGTGCAGGGGGGTACTACATGCCCCCTTGCGCTCTGTTTTTGGCCTCCTGGGCCTTAGGGAAGCCTCCTGGGAGCAAAAACGGCCTTCCAGGAGGCTTCCCTGGGCCTCAAAAAAAAAACTGGAGAGCTGGAGATGGTGTGCTGCAAAAAAAAAAAAAAAAGGTACACCCACCCGGTTGCGTGGACATGCCCACCTAGCCACGCCCTCCCAGCCACACCCACAGAACTGGTAGTAACAATATTTGCATCCTACCCCTGATTAGCATGTTTCACTTTGGTATCCTGAGTTTATACGTTGCTGTTTTGTCTGTTTGTCTTCTGAATTGGCTGGACTTGGATGAAAGAGCTACAATATAGAAAATGTATATACCCACAAAGAAGAAACTGAGCTCATTTGGATTGTAACAGACAAAGAAGGGTATAATGACTGACAGAGGGCCAATGGGATGAAATGCTAGATGGAGCCCTCACTTGAACAAACAATCGGAGGGATAGTTAGAAGGAAAGAAAAAAAGAACAGAAAGAAGCAGGCTAGAAATACAAAAAGCAAAAAGAATTATTATATAAATGCTACTAAAAAAGAAGAGTCAGCCATGCTTGGGTAAGATTTAGAAAATCGTTTTTATCAGATTATTTTTTCAATTTTATTTACCTCAAAAATTCATGTTTACTGATAAAATATAGGAATACCGTATTTCCCCATGTATAAGCCACCCCTTTTTTCCAAAATTTTCAAGCCCAAAAAGTAGGGGGGTGGCATATACAAAGCAGGTACACTTTTTATACGTGAAAAATGCATAAAATAATAAAGTAGGAATAAACTGGTTTTCCAGCAGTATGCTATACTTTTTTGTAAAAATTGTAAGTGATGATACGATTACGAGTGCGAGTACGCGATAGAAATGCATACGCTAGGCATCGGCCTGAATGCTTCGTTCCTACTCTCGTTCCGATGCGTAGATTGCTAGTGTCGCCCGCACCACTTTCGGCGTCATTACCGAAGTTGTAGATCTAGACGTCGAATTTTGTTTCTTTGTAAATTTTCTTTCTTCATAACTTGTTTCTCTAATAAAATATTTTTTTCAAAACTTCACAGTCCAAAAATTGGGGGGGGGTGGCTTATACAAAGGGGGTGCTTATACATGGGGAAATACGGTAGTTTCTGATCTACCTTACCTTATACTGTATACTGACTTCAAATGACAAAACTACGTCAGTGACTCTATGGAGGATTCTAAATGGAACTATAGAAGGTTAGTGACATTTATTTTGATGCATTTTTCTGAAAAACTATAAAATTTATGAGATGATAGCAATTTTACTTATTTAACAATCAGGGTAATACAAAAGTGTATAACTTATGCAGAGACCTAAGTGCAGAGACCTACGTAAATGTGGAATAGACCTCTTAACTTATCAGGTTGCTCTAGGAAGACATTATCTCATCTGAATACACTTTATTCACTGTGTTCTATCTAGCCCCTGGGTGCAATGTTTCCAAAAATCAGTGAGCAAGAGAGGTTGTATATCACTGTGTGTTTATAAGTATTTCCAATTATCTTCTTATAAATTCCTATATGAAAATGCCTGGGCTTCACTGAAGCCAGCACCATCTGCTTGTCCCCAAAGTGCTTTTCCAAAAGACAACTGGACTTTCTTAGTTTTTTTTTTCCCTTGAAAATGTTTCGCTTCTCATTCAAGACGTTTCTTCAGAACTGAAGAAGCTTCTTAGATGAGAAGCGAAACACTTTTCAAGGAAAAAGTTGTGAAGAAGCTTCTTAGAGGAGAAGTAAAACATTTTCAAGGGGGAAATAAAAAACACCATGAATGGCCAGTTGCCCTTTGAAAAAGTATCTTTGGGACAACCATGATCTGGATGATTGAGAATCTCCATAGACACCAAATCAGAATAGAATAAATAACCCAAAATGATTTGATGAGATACTTTCGAAGCTGAGTGTTGTTAATCAGATATTTTTTTATGGATATTCAAGGTGACTTAAGGGCCCAGCAAATATTTGCATTAAGTAACAAAATGGAAGCTCACCTGCTCGCAGTGGTTCATGTTCACGGATTTTCCATCACTGCGGATGCAGCTTAGAAGGCGATTCCTGATCCCTTGTCCACAGGCTGAATTTTCATTTAGCTGGCATGTGCTCCAGTCTAAAGAGACATCATGGTTACAATTGGTTCTGCCTATTAATGCTAGAAAGACCTTTTTTTTAAAAAAAAAAATGAAGCTAGTTTTTTACGATTTGGAAATCATTATAATATTATTTAAAAGAAAAGAAGCCATCCAGCCTTAAATTATTCTGTTTTTATTTCAGTAGCCCTTAAAAATTACATTCCCTCCGAGTATGCTAACAACTGTCCAGGGATGATGAAATGTAGCACTTCATAGTGATCAAATGGCAGGCCGCTCCATTGGATGCCAAAAATTGTAAAAAAAAATCTGCAGCACAACTACCTTGAAGCAACTCTTGTCATAATCTCCAGCTGAGTTTTGTTTGACAAAAGAAATCATGTTTTCCTTGAAAGAAAGCACTTGTAAAATATTAATGTCTTCTCCAAGCTAGGATAACCAATTAGGGAATGCTGTTTTTTTCAAGTACCACTCTGCAAAGGTAATGTTGAAAATAGCTAGAAATCTTAAATAAATGACTTTTTTCCTGCCTTCAAAATGCATATGAAATGATATAAATTATTTTTCCCTCTGTGTGGTCTTCACACTTCGTTCCTAGGTGGATGTCCTTTCATTTTAATGAGGGGAATATCTCTAAACAGGCTTCCATTAGGAAGGTAGGGATGATGGAATCCTAGAATAAAAAGTCCATTCTGTACCCTGCATAAGGCTCTTTATAGAATTCTAAGTTTTGCCTCTAGGAGCTGACACCTTGGACTTCTTGAGCCCATTTCTAAGTACCTTTTTATAGTTTATCAATCTGAACTTGGAAATTAGGATCAATGAATCACAAATTTGCACCTCTCTCAAGCGGAGCTTGACTGCTGCTGTCTATGTGGATAAATTCCTGTTACGCTTTAGACCAGGGGTATCAAACTCAATTTCATTGAGGGCCGCATCGGGGTTGTTTTGGACCTGGGGAGGGTGTGTGTGGCCAGCATGTTGTCACTCATGTCAGGGGGGCACCTGTGGTGGCCTAAGTGCTCTTCCAGCAAAAACGGGCTGCTGACCTTCGTTTTCAGCTGTGATGGCCTCCTGTAACCTTCGGCCAGTAAAAATGGAGCTCGGTGGGGGACACATCTCCCTCGCAAGCTCTGTTTTCGGCTGGGACGGTCTCCTGAAACCCTCTGCCAGAAAAAAATGAAGCTCGGGCCAGCTCTGTTTTGCTGTTTTTGCTGGTCCTTCGCTGTTTCCAGGGCAGCCCCATTATAACCACATTTGAGTCTAACATTTCCATCATTAAGTGAGACATTTGTAAAGTAAGTTTTGCCCCATGTGACAAACTTTCTTGCTGTAGTTGTGAAGTGAATCATTGCAGTTGTTAAATTAATAACATGGTTGTTAGGTGAGGCTTCCCCATTGATTTTGCTTGTCAGAAAGTTTCAGAAGGTGACCCCATGATCCTGGCACACTGCAACCGTCATAAATACATGTTAGTTGCCAAGTGCACAAATTCTGGTCACATGATCATGGGGATGATCACACTTTCCTAAGTGTGCGAAATGGTCATAAAGTCACTTTTTTCAGTGCTGTTGTAACTTTCAAACAATCACTAAATGAACTATTGTATGTCAGGGGCTACCTGTATTTATACATTGTATAAATATAATGTATATTATAGATAATATAGTAATTCTATATGTACATAACTTTATATAATTCTATGAGAACTTAATTCATAAGTTTAAGATTCATAAATTATCATTAATTAATAAATACACGAACTTTTAGCTATTTTCAAAATGGCCTCCCTTGAAAGTTCAAGTCCAGTGAAAGTTATATATTCCTAATGCTACATCTCTATACATCTCTATATACTTTTGCCAGTCTGATGCGGGTATTGGGGAGAATGCTTTAAATTTCATTCCAAATTACAATGAAGGATGCTCACCTGTTAAATTGTAACTATATTGAAAACAATTTTGATTCAGAATACAAGGTCTCTGCTGTGCACTTTCGGGGCATGTCTTGGGTTTTAAAGGCATTCGTAGTATATGTCGAGTCCTTGTTTGCCTTATATTGGGATCACATCGCTAGAGATTAAAAAAAAAACATGGGTAAGTGAATTATGCAAGCACATGTTTACAGTTGTGGCAAGGATGGTTACCTGCATTATTAATTTAATTGGTTTTCAAATTGCCTATCAGGCTAAAGAGTCTCTTGTGAATAATCTCATTATATAACATCAATGCTTTCCCCCTGAATTTGACAGTCATCTAAAAAAAAACCCCTCTCTGTATGTCCATAGGGGAAGAATCATAACATGTGGCTGAGGATTTTTATGGTGGTCATCCAAACAATCAACCAAGCTACTGCTGGCTTATTAGTTATTTTGGAACCATAGAGAATGAAAAAGGGAAAAAAAGGTACCATTATTTTTGTAGATCAGTCTTATATTTGTCTTCATTTTTTCTTTTCAATTAAGAAAAAAATGGTTATAGTAAAATGTGAACTCCTTTATTCATGAAAATATGTTCCCTTCAATTCTTTCAAATTGAAAATATATTTTATCCTGTTTTTAAATCACCCATGCTATACTGAAGATGTTTTAGCTGATAAAGGTTTATGAAAAAATGTGCTATTTTCCCCAAAGCATTAAGATGCTATATTTGAATGAAAGAAGACAATATCAGCCACTACTGAAAAACATCCACTTGGCACTCTTTTACTGTTCATTATAAATATACAGATATACATATTTAATTATCTTCTCCAACTGCACTGTCACAATCCTCTCACACATGTTGCCCATGAAGGGTGTTTTTAAAAAGGACTAAATTAACAGTTTCTTCAGAAGTGGATGGACCCACTGTTTTCTTTTTAAGACTTCTGGCCCCAATCTGTCACATAAAGAAATATTTTCCCTGCCTGGATCTGCCTAGTCATTTTTCTCAAATAAGCTAAGATAGACAGAGCTCTAGTATGCATTTTCTACCTGTATTCTTAGGCCCGTAAACTGAAAGTTATCCCATGCAATTTGATTAGAAATACTTTATTTCAAGACAGAATATTTTTCTCAAAGTCACTCACAGATCCATCTTGCAAATCTCCATGAATTGCAATACAAGGTTTTCCAGTGATTATAATCCCAGAACCAATCCAAAGAACTCTGTTGGAAAGCTACTTGAGAATGCCATGGAGATCATAAAATAAGTTATTTTTCTAGGGTTCACCTTCAGTATTATACACTTATGTTCTAGCCATCTCCTAGTCTATTTCATCACAGAGTGTCCTAGGAAAACCAGAAGTCCACACAAAGCATTAATCTTGCCATTTACTCTATCTTGCAGGACAAATAGTTTGGGGCTCTGGAGAATTCTCCCCAGACCATTCAAAGTTCTATCACAGTCCATATATCTTTGGAGACATCATCTTCATAGGACCTTCCCCTTCCCCTACTCTTGCATGGGAGTGTTGAAAGGCTGCTTAAAATGTCTTTCTTCTGAGGATTCATTTTCCTGCTGGGAAAGCTCCGGTGCAAGGATACAGACAACTGCTTGAAAGCTGGTTCTTTTTATTTTTCAGGAAGGCGAGAGATAGCAAGAAGTCTGCGTTCCTGGGGCTAGCTAGCTTTATATAATAAACCCCTGATTTTTATACTTTTTTCTCCTTTTGTGTGTGAGTGCTTGTGTTTGTATTTCTTAATGTTTTAAACCCTGTCAGGGGTTGTCTTCATTTCCGCCAGAGGGTAAACTCCGTGGGGTGGTTCGATTGGATTATCAGTTTCGTCCTAATGTTTTCTTATATTTGTTTTGTGGCAATCTCCTGTCTGCTATGGAATTTATTTCGTGTCTTTTGTCTATTTGTTTTGCTGATTTGGCATGACCTGTTGTTTGTAAGGGATTTCTTTTTCTGGTTTCCCTAGCTTTCTTAATTACTTGGCTTTTGTCTAGGGGGTTCTTTCAATACATTTTATTAAATCTCTTTTCCTATGCAAGTTTGTTTTATGGCTGGCCTGATGTTCCCTTTGGGCTTTTTCTGGTTGGGTGTCACCACTGTCCTCATGAAGTTCCCTTTCCACAGGAGGAAGACACAGTTGTGCTATTTTGGAGGCAAACAAAATCATGCCATATTGCAAGATGAGACTTTTTTTTTCCAGGCACAGCAAGAAGACACCTTTGCTGGCTAAGGAAGATTCCGCTTGCTTGCTGGTTGATTGTTTCTCTTTTTCTTCTTAATGAGGCATTTAATATGTCTCTCCCTGCCCCAGGGCACAGTTACATGGGTACTTTTGGGTAGCAGCAGCAAAGTGAATAGGCAGTAAGTGGAGTAATTTATTAGCTTCAGATGCTCCTAAAGGGCAATTAGCTTGGCATACAAATGTCCTAACCTGCTTTATCATGATGCTGGGGGTAATGGAGTTGCTTAAGTGATTGAGAATGGCAGAGCTACAACACAAATGAGCGGCACATTCTCAGCCATTCCATGACAGTGGTAACCCTGTTATTGATGCCGAATGAAGCAAACTTTCTCAGGAAGTAAAGAAGAGCAGAAAAGCAAACGCCCCCCCGCTCTAAATATAGAAATACATTTCAAAGCGCAATTGCATTTTCTCAAAGGCGTTTAATTAATAGAAATGAGTTTGGAGGAATCAAGCGCTGAAAGCCATGGACTGGATGAGATTATAACCCAACCAGATCAAACCCACAACCCTCCCCACCCCTTGTTATCTTCGTAAATATTAAGGTGTTTTTTTTAAAAAAAAAGTGTCCTTCCATAAATCACTCCAAGGGCACTACTTTCCCGCCCCCGCCATTTAAATGCTCATCAACTAGAGAGACAGCAGTTCAAAAACACAAGCTTCTCTTGCCTTGCAGCTGCCACCAAAGAGAGAAATCAAGAGCGAGAGACTGACAGAATCAGGAAAGAAAGACAACGCCCCACCCTCCTGAATATGCAAAAGAAGACTCCCAACACGTTGGCTCACAAGCACAATACTACAGAGGACCTAGCCCGAAAGAGCTCTGGCAGCTGACAGCAGTCCAGCAAATCCCTTGCACAATTCCTCTTGTAACAGCGGAAAGCAGACACTGGTGCGTACAACTTCGGTGCCAAGGGAGACCAGACTGTTCGCTCTTTCAGTAAATCTGAATTAAGCAGATGCAAAGAGCGCCGTAGCATTCTCTGTAACCTTGTGGCGTCATTACATATACAAGCTACTTTTCCTGGAAGCTCAGCTGTTTGCTGGAGAATGGTCAGCCAGACATTTAACATAAGCCATTTTTCTTAATTACATGAAAACAAATCCTGTGTCCAAGTGTTTATAAATGGTTTATTATCTTTCCCACAATTAATTTGATTGTTTGTCCTTGCAGGCAAAAATAATAGTATGAATGGTTTGCCAATAATAATCAACGTGAAGTATCTTGATAGAAGTTCCCAATTACTGCTCTACAGAATTCATTTTGCTGTGTTAAAATCAGTCACTGAAAATCGATGAAGAAGAGAGGAGCTGGTTTGATAAATGATCACCTTTCCAGCATGAAAACGAGCATTTCAAGCAGCTCGGCAATGACTGTCATTTTTTAATTGACTGTATCTGGGATGTGTTTTATAACAACTTATTATGGAGGCCTATTTAAAATCTGATCCAAACATGCTTTGCGTAAGGATTAAGGAAGGGAAAGCAAAATTTCTTCTTGCTATCAGCAAATACTGTAAGATTATTTGCTAGTGCTGGGCAGGCTAATTTTCCCACTCCTTCTTCCCACCAGTTCTTATTATTCAATTTGATTTCACAGATTTAAGAGAAATTGCTTTCAAAAATCATATCAAAGGTTAAAAAAAAATCTCTCATGGATGGAATGCTGCACTCATCACTGTATGAAGTGATGAGGCAGTCAAGGTTTGTCCATGAATATTTTAGGTTTCACGGTAAAATTGTTTTTCAAGAGATCTTCAACTGGATTTTTTCAGTAACGGTGCTTCTACTGAGGAAAACTCTCCTTCTGGAGAAAATTGAAGGAGGTATTCATCTTATGTTTTCTGCCCACACCCAGTTGTACAATCTTCATTTACTATTTTAATTTGGATGTGTCTCTATCCAATTGTAATAAAATATCTATTTCCCCCCACAACAATCACCTTAAAAGAATAACAGAGATGGAAGGGATGTTGGAAGGTTTTCTAGGCCAACCCTCTGCTCAAGCAAGAAACTCTATACCACTTTAGACAAATGTTTGATCTCTTCTAAAAAACCTCCAGTGTTGGAGCCCCCACAACTTCTGATAATAAAATCCATGGTTGTATAAACGGAGGCATAGAATCACGTGAAGTATTAGTTCCAATTTATAAATCCTTAGTAAGGCCACACCTGGTATACTGCATCCAGTTTTGGTCACAAAGATATTAAGACTTTGAGAAAAGTGCAAAGAAGAGCAACTAAGATGATTAAAGGTCTGGAGACAAAAACGTATCGAGAATGGGTTTGGTTACAGAAAAGAAGAGGTAGGGGTGACATGATAGCAGCATTCCAGTATTTGAAGGGGTGCCACAAAGCAGAGGGAGTCAAGTTATTTTCCAAAGCATCAGAAGACAAGACAAGAAACGACGTTTGGAAACTAATCTAAGAGAGAAGCAACTTGAAACTGAGGAGAAACTTCCTCACAGTGAGGACAGTTAACCAGTGGAACTTGCCTTCAGAAGTTGTAGGTTCTCCATCACTAGAGGTCTTTAAGAAAAGACTGGGTAGCCACCTACCGTTTGAAATGGTAAAGAATCTCCTGCTTGAGCAGCAGGTTGGATTAGAAAACCTCCAAGGTCCCTTCCAGCTCTATTCTGATTGAACTTGTTCTGTCATGAAATTTCTCCCAAGTCCTGGGTTGAGTCTCTCCTTGATTAGTTTCAACCCATTGCTTCTTGTCCTGCCTTCAGGGGCTTTGGAGAATAGGTTGACCCACCCTCTTCTGTTCTCAGCTGTTCAAATATTGGAACACATCACCCTAGTCCTTCTTTCTAGTAAACTAGACATATCCAACTCCTGCAACTGTTCTTCATATGTTTTAGCCTCCGGTATCCTAATCATCTTTGTTGC